TTTGGGTTTGATACTGGTGAATGCTCAGGAGCGTTCTGGCCTTGCAGCCACTGGACACGACCCGTCTCCCATTGCAATATGCACCACGGCCCTGGACAGCCGTGTAGAGCCTCCACTGTATGCAAGCATTCCAAACCCTAAACCTCTAAACCTCCAAACCCTAAACCTGAAAACCCCTAAAAACCCTTAACCCCTAAACCTCTAAAACCCTAAACCCCCAACCTCTAACCTCTAAACCCCTAAACCCTAAGCCCCCAAACCCCTTAATCCCTAAACCCTAAACCCTCCCAGGAGATGACTGTGGAGCTGCTCACCGCAGCCGGCGTGGTGGTCAGTGCCTGAGCCTAGGGAAGTCGGCCCCATCCAAGGGGCTATAGGTTTAGGGTTTAGGGTTTGGGGGTTTAGGGTTTTAGGGTTTAGGGTTTATAGTCCCCCTTAAGTAGATGGAATAGGGGGTATATGGGGATCTTATTAATACCCAAAGCCATATTCTATCTACTTAAGGGGGATTATAGGTCAAACATAGCGAAGCTGATATGAACTATAGTCTAAACTCCTTAAAGGTAGTCTAAAATCCTTAAAGTGAGTTTTATGGAGGATTATATAAGGAAGTATGCTTGGGGTTATTAAGGGGGATACTTGGAGTTTAGACACAAAACCCTATAATCCCCATACCCTATAATCCTAAACCCTCAACCTGATCCCTAATTAAGCGGGAGACTAGGAGTTTAGACTATAGCTCCTACGCTTGCCAGTTTGGGATTCCGGCCTCTTTCTACAAGAGTTTACACCTGTTTTGGCCTTCCCCCCTAGACTCCTAAACCCTAAACCCCAAAACCTTAAACCCCGCATATCCCTACATAATCCCTGTATATCCCGTATACATACCCCTATAAAGCACCTTTAAACGGACCCCTAAACCCTCAACTGGTAGTTGCTTCAACCTGTTCAGGCTGTGGTGACACTGTTCACGGCGCGGCAGAATCGCTGGGCCTACGCCCGCCGCCCAGATGTCTGAGTCTTCCGCTTATCTCAACTGCTTGAAGCTCAACAAACTTGTGAAACTTCAAACTTTGGGGGGTGACCTGAAGATTTTTAGTGTAGGTCCTGGCGTGGGGATTTTTCCAGTACACTCGTGCAGCAAGAGGTAGACGAACAGAAGAAAGGCAACTAGCCTGCGCTCCACGCTGAAACCTGTCAGGAAGTTTTTGCAAGCTGGACCCCTAAAACCGGGTTGCGGTTAAGGAACTTAAGTTAAGTTAGCAAAATATGGGTATATAAAAACAATAGCGTTTCCCTCTTAGAGTATAACTTGAGTTGAGTTCCTTAACAGCAGCCAAGAAAAACACAGGAGATGATGGCTTGCTGTAGGAGGGAACGGCTTCCTGGGTGAAGCTGTGGTAGGGTTCATGGTTTAGGGTTTAGGGTGTAGGGTTTGGGGTGTAGGGCTCAGGGTTGAGTCATAGAGGGTTTACAGAAGTTGAAGCCCTTTAGACGTAGCTTCAGGCGAAAGCTTCGAAGTTCAATGAGAAAAGCCCATGAGACGCGAGTTTGAAACTGCCAAGCCCAGGGCAACAATCTCTTATTCATGGGTCCCCCTACAACCGGCCCCTATACTACCCCACCCCCCCCAGGTTCCCCCCTTAATTAAGGTTGCTCAGGGGTATTTACGCTGAAATAGTTTGAATTATGGTGGAAGCTTAGTATAGAGCGGGGTGGTAGGGGAACCCATGACTTATGCAAGGTGTCGCTGCAGCATTCGGAAGGATGCAGTGTGCTCATGCGTTGTCTTCCGGGTTCGGGCTGGGGTTTCAGGGTGTCTCGTGGATTGGTGAGACTCAATGGATCCTTTGCGTGAGCTCTAGAACCTCTGAACCTTGATCTTCGTATGAATAAGGCCATGTCTCAGAAGCCGCTCACTAGCTAGAAGGGCCCATCGCTTGCAAGGGTCTATCTTCCAACCACAAGACTTCGACAAACCATGGTCGCTGTATACCCAACTTTGACGATCAGCAGACCCAGGACGACCCCGCCTTAGGGATCCACATAGCCCAATGTAGGTAATGGTTTAGGGTTTGAGACTTAGGGATCCAAAGAGCCCAACGCAGGCAAGATT